AATTGATTGTCTGCAATTTTTATAGCCTCATCCGACCACGTGGCAAGGTTATGGGAGTTGCAACCGGGAGAGACAATAAGACAGTATAACGGTCATCATAAGGCCGCAGTCTGCGTTGCATTAAATGACTTGTCGGTTGGAAATTAGAAAAAACTATCGGACGATTGGTTTTCCGATCGAAAACTCCTTGGAGCTTTTGGTCCAATCAGGCTGGCGATATTTACCGGGTATTTATTCTCTCGTCATTGGTGAACCCGTGAACACCGTTATTGTATTTATGTGACAAGTACGTTCAGATGAGCGTGCCTTGAATTGTAATATTATTTATGTCACAAGCCATTGTTTTGTCTTGTAACCGTATCGACTGTATCTAATCATCGTGCACAATGGACACTAATGTTGTATTAAGTGTAATAAATCAAAAGCACACTCAATCGCGTGTTTCGAGTATCAGTGATTTACATTGTTACCAACATGCCCCTAATCGTATATTGAGAATTATTACATAAGAATTTTAAGGCATCACAAATCAAAGTTAATAATTCGGGTCACGCACTGCATATTGAGGTGAAACGTCAAGTCAATAAAACACTGGAACAACTCAAAAGGCAGTTAACTCTAACATCAAATAGAAAACAACAAAACTCACAAAACTGATCGCAGACTCTAAACTCCTAGCCTTGCTACCGTCATTCGATCCTATGCTTTACCACTATTTATTGTTGTCTCGACATCGGGAATGGGCATGTCAACTGCTTTCACTCTTGAAATCATTCTCTGCGCCCATTTTACCATTGGGAGATCAATCCTACAAACAAACGTTCATTACATAACTTAACATATTTGACCCACGCTATATAACATGCTTGAACAGTTTCATACATCTTGCCGTCCAAACTGAACACGCCAATGCCCTTTTCGGAATGTTCTTTGTATCCGTTCAAGATCTTGACTGCTCTGTTTATGTCTGAAAAATGTATGCAATGGTATTAGCATTGTCAAACGCGTCGTGAATATTTTTTTAAAATCGTATGAATTACCTTTTTTGTCCGGCAAGAAAGTCTTGTGTATTATATCAACCTGCTGAGGATGTATAGCTTGCTACAATTATAAAAAAATATCTTTGTTATTCTATTGTCTAATTCAAAAACGTTCTTACGATAGTTGCCGCGTCTCAATTCTCTCACCTTTCCTACAAATCCCATTTCTCTACCTTCTTGGCATTCCTCTGCAAGAATCGCGTCATTCTTATAATCAAGACAAACCTATTCAGCCAGCCAGCCAGCCAGCCAGCCAGTGCTTGTTAGTATAACTATATGTTTAACAGTCACGATCATTATAAGCAAATACAAACCAAATCGATTGCTTGTAAGCCATAAGCACATGCAGCGGTTACGATTGCTTGCCGTGCATATAAAAACTGAAAAAATATAAATAAAATTGAGTTGTCAAAAAAAATTGTAAAAGATAACATAATAAACAATTTCACCTCCTTCCGCGATGACGTTCTTGTAAGCCCTAGGTTATATTGTTTTTAATTTCGAATTTAGCACTCGTTCTTGTAAAGTACTTTTAACTAATTATTACCTAGATCAGCGCAATAATCTTCTGCAGCGAACTACAGTCGAAGGAAAAACATCAAAGCTCGAGACGCTGCTGGCTGGTTATGTTAGAAAACAAAACACTAAAGCTTTATCAAACAGTACACATTACAATAAGGGCATCTAATCGTCCATCGGATGTCGCAATCTCCTTCAAATTCATAATGCCCAATGCGCTCTCAATCGAACCAATTAAACGAATACTAGCTCGCCTGTTTTAATAAATAAAATCGAGATTAAAGCGTTGTGTAATAAAACAAATAAATTAGCATTAACATTGACTAACGTTGTCTCCTTTGCAACAGAGTCAATCATACGACTGACAAATTGGATATCTTTGGCAGACTGTACTTTTGGAATAACTATTGCTTGAAGATGCGTCGATCTTAACTAAGCAAACAACCGAGACGTTATCAAACAGAAACATTATTATTACTCAAACCAACACCAAATACTCACTATGACGTTCAGATCATCTAATTCAAGACCTTAATAGAAATAATCTCAATAAAACTTGACCAGCTATATTCACAACAATCAATGATTTCTCGTATTAAACCTACCGGATCCTACTGAATTAATCCTGACAGCCCGCTCAAACCTGCCCAATTCTGAAGCCTTAAATAATTGAGTTCAATTACCAACTTAAAGTCAAACCAACTTGATCTCGATTCATTTGAATCCTTCTCCCCACCTAACATTCTTTTTCAATATTTTGACTCTCGATTTTAAATTAAAAATAAAATCATCCAGACCTCTAACGTGTCAAACACCATCTCCCTAGCAACTCCCTTTCGATTGAACGCAACACCATCTTCAAGGTCATAAACAATGCAGTCAGCTTTTAATTTTAATGATGATTTTATTTTACGTTCTTCGCCGCCGGGAACTGTGGAAAATATTTAAAGAGCATTCACTAGATCAGTCAGGTGGCAGACGGAAATGTATTGAAAAATATCCGCACATGGAAGATAAAAATACCGTAAAAAACTGCTCTTCGAGACCGAAATTCCTTCCCTGTAAGTGCATTTTCTATTGACTTTGTATCGCTACTGTATTTTCGTACAGTTGTAGCTAGTATGTTTGTAAGCTTATTCGTTGACAAAACTGTTGGTCTTCCTGTAAACCGTTGGAATAAGGTATTCGAGTCGCGACTTTATAAAAGTCTCGTCAACCCATCAACTGTAGTTACCTATCTTTTGAGGTAACGTTCCTGCAAGGGAGGATACTGACAACAAAGAGTAAATCGGTCTCGATGGTAACCTACACATTACAGTATGTTTCCAAGGCGTTATTCTGAGAAAGCTCAAGGTTTCATTTTTATGGCACGTGATATAATAATTTATGACGCGCTTAGATCGAACTTGCAGAACATTCTAACATTGTGTTTAAGTAATATCTAAAAGGTCATAAAAGGTTATGACGCTCATTTTCTGTGAATTCGCACTCTCATGGCCAAAAACCTACGGAATCGGAACCATTACCTTGCGAAATTAAAATGGGCTGATGCCGAACGCGTTGATGATCAAGACAATTGAGAAATCGAAAATGAAATCATCTCGGCGAAGCAGGTTAATAGTGAACCGGAAATTCAGTTGGTGAGTAAGCACCAACTTCAAAGTACTATGAGTAAAATATCCAAGTATCAGGGTGGCAATTCCGGTTGATACGAAGACCTTTTCTATTATCTGTCGAATCAAGGTACTGAATCCGCCCAAGACAGAATCCATACACTTGCGAGAGGATGAGAAACTGTTAGCTGAATTAACTTTATTATCACCAGGCGAAGATTTATCGAACTTGGTAGGAATGATGCGACGCGAGTCATACGACTTTGCGTGTATTACAGAGCGAACAATCAAACGCGAGATACAGAAAAAAAGAATACGTGCAATATGCGTAGGATCCAGCTTAGATATGCAAGCTTGTCGAGGATATGCGTAAGGTCGTGAGAATTACCGCGTGATCGTGCTTCCTGTGTTTGAGAGCCAAGGAATGGTGGATCAGGTCAAAACCGCGCGAGCCATGATGACCCTTGCGCATCATAGAGACGCGAGTTTTTGATGTCAAAGTACCCAGGACGAATCCTGTGCCTGCCCATTGAGGAATACACGAGCAAGACCGGTGGACGATGTGGAACAATCAAGGATAAATGTGTCATTTCTTGAGGAACGGTAGTTGTTTTGATGCTTTGGACAGACCAAACGTCATTGTTTATGGGTTTGGAGCCGTAGGATATGATGACTTTTTATGTTTGAATTCTTACGACTATAATTTCTTGGCGTGTTATCTCTTTATGTTTACACCGACCAATGCTTTAAATAAATCCCAACTTGAAATTGGAAGCTAAATGCTTTCCTCCCATAATTTTACTGGTTATATTATATCGGTTCCTGCAAACGCCATAATTTTATGTCCATTGAATTCTTCTTTCACTAATCTTTCAAACGTATGTTATCAATAGTTCTCTCTTGCAAGCTTTTCTGTTAATAACCCCCGGTTTCTTGTCATATCCAATACTCTAGTATTCTACGATTCGCACCCAGAAAAATCTTACGGAAAACAGGATAGATCGCATTCAAAATGCTAATTCTTTCTTCCCGAATCCGACTTCTCGGAGAAATGAAATGGGTCTTTTGAAAGATTATATCATCTGGACTGTAGCAGTCCGCACAACTAAGACGTTTTTCTAACTCAGTACTCTCGAACCCTCCTCTTCTGCGGTCACTCGACGCGTACGTTCTCCTTTCTCTCACAATCACTCAAGGCTTATTCCCCATTTCGAGTCAAAGATTACCCTGCCTCATTGATCGGTTCTAATTCTATTGACTTCACAGACTTGGCACGACCCCTCCCTCGTCTTCTTCCATGAAACTGCTTCCTCGCCATCATTGCTCTTATAATTCAAATAACCATTACTTGGTATACTCGGTTTCGATTGTCGTGGGTAATGGGTTTGATGCCATATTCCACTAGACACGAGACTAAACTTCTAGCAATTTCATTTAGATAGTTCACGATGCGTATTTCAGTCTCGTCTAATAAATCCTGATCATGTTGTTCGGATGCTGTCATGAGCGTTCGTAAATGACGATTGAGAAAAAATGGAATTCATTGATGTAGAGCCTATATAAGTAACGGTAAACCGTCAAAGAAATCATGTTTGTAAATTGCAAACCTCTTATTTCTGATCATAATGACTATTGTCTTTTTAAGGTAACAAATTTGTGTAACAAATTAGGTATACGCAGAGTCCTCCATTCTCAAATCTTTGCCGATTCTACACTGCTTTGCCGCTATGAATGCTGTCCATCATATCGATGAATTAGTTAAAGAATATCTATTGGTACTACTCATGTCGACATCACTTTGATATTTATACAAAAATTCTATGTTAACGCTTTAATTCTGATTGCTAGTTTCGAGGATTTTCAAATACTTTCCGTGCATTCGAACAGGAGAGCAGAAACGACAGGGATAAAGGATTTCAGGTGCGATTTCGAGCAAAGATTAAGTTTATCTTTCTTTTTTAGAAAACGTTCTTATTTGTGATTCTTATTATCGCTTGCATTTTTAGGCTGACAAAATTGTTGAAGAGTTATATTCATTTATAATAAATAGCGATATCAATGGGCTTATTGATTATTGGCGATATCTTGATGTGCGATACTTTTCTCGATTAGATGGACGTTTCCTTGGAGCTGTGAACAAGTTTGAATTATGTCTTTTAAGATATTATCTTGTATATGGTACGAAATCACTTGATAAGCGATAGTGTATTGGTGTTATGTCTAATCTCTTGCCATTCTCATTTATTCAGCTGCTCAACAAAAGAGGAAAGAAAAGATAATGGAATTTTTTGATACGGCCGGGCCAGAATTAAGTTCCAATCCGGAATGGACAAAATGGTTTGGTGCGTGCGTAGTTATTGAATATTTAATTAGACGTTTCTGGTGACAGAGCGTATGTGCTTTACAGTAATCTACCGTCCTCTTATTTGCAGGCCTTCCATTCTCCAAGAGTCCAGCGACAGATCCAAATTTTGAAACGTTTTTTACTAAACAGTGGCTAGAGACATTTACGGTGTCTCTTCATAATTTCCTTAATACTATTTTTCAAAACATGCGTATCCTTAAAGTCTCAATATGAAGATCAAACATCGACGCTATTCATGATCCTTAATTCTTTCATTCACTTGTCAACAGCATTGCCTGCTCTCTTGTGTTTCAACATTGACAGGTTACAAATACGGGCAATGCAGACAGAAATAGAAACTCTTCAATCAGTGATTGAGAATTTGAAAACGGAAATTGAACCTGGCGGTGATATTGAAGTAACAACGAACACGAAAAAAAAGGTAATCTGTCAGACGTTTAATGTCATAATGTTTAATAAATAGTGTTATCGAAATAATCACCTATCTGTGATACCGCAACAGACGAGAGCTGATGCATCAACTGCATCCAAGTCAAGAAAACGCGCTGTTTCGATGCAAGAAGGGAAAGAACGAGAGTCGTATGTATGACAATGTAAAACAGTACGGCATAGTAATCTATCGACTTTAAATTTTATAACAACTGGATTTTTTTATTAGATCATTGATTGAACGACTATCACGAGGTAAGTCTGGTGTTATTCAAGTCATCAACCATTCACCTATCTAATTCAATGCTTTTTTTTCCCGAAGGAAATAATTCTACTCATAGTATTACATCAAAGTCTTTACATGACGGTGATGCTTCTCGTTCTTTATTCGATCTCGATCGAAGTGGCACACCGATATCGGATCATGCTACTATGGACGAGGCTGTATTGGAGGGCACGCGCGAGGAAATCGCCGACGCCGTTGAGACAACCTAAGTATGTCTCACTACAATTACGGAATAAGATTTATGTATATTGTTGTTTAAAAGTGGATACTCGGGATGGAAATGTGAATTTAAAAGAATTTTCGACAGCTTAATTAGGCCTCGGGAACATGGTGAATGTACGACAACACACCCGAATCAAATCTTTGTTGCCAACATCAAACTTACGTGGGTATTTTTATACGCGTAATTTGATGACAAAAGTCTCTTGCTCCTTTGTTTATAGCATCATTCATCATATAATCTAGTTCATAGAGAATTATTAAAATATTTAGCATAATCATAATTTATAATAAATAATTAATCCATGTAGGCTTATTAATATTCTGAGTAAGTTATTATTATGTTGGCTTCATATGTGATCTTGATTAAATTCACTCATTCAAAATTTCTTACCTTTATCGTACCAAAAGCGCTAATAAGACTTTCCTAGTTCAATTTCTTTCAAAATAATTTTGTCTCTTGCATTTGTATCTGATTCGGTTACCAGTTTTTTTATCTCTTTTTCATTAAAAAAATTTATTTCTGTTCCTGCAGTGACTCAAGTGCTCGATCTTTTGTACTCACTCGATTAGATAACAACTCGCGTTAATTAAAACTGCAATATTTAAACTGATTCAATGGGATGTTATAACCGTAATTTAGATAATGAACTACCAGTAAAACTTTAACAAGGACAGAGCTAACAAATTTTTCTTAGTCGCCGTTCAATTGATTGCAAAGAATGAGTTATATGTACTGATAGCAGTTATTCCATTAGCAAGGTAAATTTGTGCTATAACAAAACTTTTTGTTCATGCTACGAACACGGGTCTGTTAATTTGTAACTCGATTCTGGTGATATTCATCGACATAATTTATTCGGCACTTTTTAACGTTCGCTCTTCGGCAATAAATGCTTAAATATGGCATGTATTTCAGCCGTCAAGAAAATGGCAAGTTGCTTAGCAAGATCGCAATCTCTCTCAAATTTGTCTTCTTTTTAGTAATCGTGCTAATTAATAGTTCCTCTAATCCTCTCATTCATCATCATTCGTTTAATAGAGCTAGTTCAAAATAATTAGGCGGCTACTTTTCCGGGTGCTGAATTTTCCACTCCAACCAACAGTAGATGCTCGGTTCCGAGGCTTTGCATTAGTTGTATTATAATTAGAGTGAAATTGATGATTTCTAAGTGATGAAAAATCGGGTCGTATTTTCTAAATGTGGATAAATTTCGGTAGTTTCACCTTTTTTTGGTTTTTTTTTGTTTTCAGGTAGACCTTTGTATTTGTTGGTAGTTCACCAAAATTTCCTTCACTATCTTTCAGAATTGCGTCGAGGATATAGCAGTTTTGACAGTAATGATATATGGGCAGGATTATAATAAGGGACGCTCGCTCTAAAGTGGGGCGGGGGCATTGGCGGGTTCGATTGTAGTAGCAGCAGTTATTTTAGCCCCCAATTTCCAGTCGCCAAAATCGCGGTTGGGGGCCAAATACAAATTCCGGGAGAATGAGGCCAAGCCACACTTTGTTACACGCCCCAAATGGTGTGCTACATTTAGCTATTTTCTACAAACACATTACTTCTACATCACACTATTATTCCATACCAGATGTCTCGTTTCGTTCGCCCATCAAAGTATAGGTGAGTCATCTACAAAATGACTGTAATGGACAATATATTCAGACAAAATGCAAAAGAAAGCAGTGATCGGTATGCTAATGCAACTATTCCAAATCTTCTCCATACCGTAGACATGTCTTTGGCACGTCAGCAAAACACGATCTTTGCTTCGACAATGTAAAGGTGTCAGGTAATGCGTGGGACACCAATCTCGTAAAAGTTAACCCTGTAAGCTTGTGATATTCTGACTACTCATTAAGAAAATATATGGCAAACTTGATAATACGCGAACCGCATTGCTGATGATAAGCTTTTATTAGAAATTTGTTGCGGTCAACTGGAACTCGAGTGGTGGAGGAGCATTTGCCGTAATTCCTCATAAAAATGCTGGTATGTCTGAAAAAGGCCGCGTGCTCGTGGTCACAAATCTTTTTACGCCAGAAAATTACAAATAAGGCTACCAGAATTATGCGAAAATCGACAAGTGTCCTGTTGTCGAAATTACCTTTACGCGCCCAATTACGCTCACATTTTACACTAATTGTTTTACTCTTATAGGAAAAATTGTCGATGGTATACCACTATATCGCGGCCACACTGCAGCAGTCCTCGACACGGACTTTGCTAATTTCAATGACAATGTGATTGCGTCCGGTGCGGAGGACTCAAAAGTCATGATATGGAACATTCCCGATGAATTGGGCGAACCAGAATCGCCTGATATTATACCTGCTGCCACATTGAGTGGACATAGCAAGTAAGTGAATAAAAGAAGAAAAACGGATAAAGGAAAAAAAATGCGCGTTGCTTTGTTCCGTTGATTACGCGGCAGCATATATTCATGCGATATAAATTTATTTTTATTTACTTGCAGAAAAGTCGGTCACGTTCTCTTCCACCCAGTAGCTGACAATATTTTGGCGTCGTCAAGCGCTGATCTTTCAATATACGTATGGGACCTTACGAATAGCTCTCATGCACTCACACTCAGAGGCTTCACAGATCTCATTCATTCTCTTTCCTATTCATATAATGGTAACCTTCTCGCGACAACTTCTCGCGACAAAAAACTTCGCATATTCGACGTTCGATCCACAGAAACTGTTCAGCAAGCAGATAGCCATCAAGGAGTCAAGGGCTCGCGAGTAGTGTGGTTGGGAGATGCAGACAGGCTTGTAACAACAGGCTTTAGTAAAATGAGTGATAGACAGGTGTACGTGTGGGATACGAGAGCTTTGAACAAGCCGATAAAAACTGTGCATCTGGATACTTCAAGCGGAGTGGTCATGCCTTTTTATGATAACGATACGAAGATGCTGTTCTTGGCTGGGAAGGTTGTGTTCTGGATGAGATTGGGTGTGAGAAAGGGTTAGCGTTAAATGAACGATAAAGGATGAGTTATTCTGTTTGATCCGTCGACCGTACTGACAATGTTTATAATTTAAACTTATACTTCATTACGCGAACATTTCATTTATCGTTCACAGGGGTAAGTCGTGATTTACGCACTTTTATCTTTATATCAATATCAGTTTTCCCAATATTTACCCTATCCTACCCTGTCGTTTCATTCCAATCCATTTTCCAGTGATGGCACAATCCGCTACTATGAATTCGAGAACGATGAGCTCTACTTCCTGTCGACGTATCAATCTCCCGAACCTCAACGTGGGTTAGCCTTTATGCCTAAACGCGCATTAAATATCAACGAGTGCGAAATTGCTAGGGCGTACAAGGTTATGAGTCATATGATCGAGCCGATTTCGTTCGTTGTGCCAAGAAAGGTAGGCAAAATGGGGGACTAGTGTAGAGTTGCGACTGTGAAGGCCGGAATAACAGAGGGGAGGATAGATGCTTGCGATTTGCCGGCGTTTAGAACATTCGCTCATAATCTCGATTTTTTTTCTTATTCCTTCAAACAATTCGTCAGTCTGATGCTTTCCAATCCGACATATTCCCGGAAACTCCGAGTGATGAGCCATCCTTGACCGCAGAGGAGTTCTTTTCTGGTAAAAGCGCGAACCCGAAACTTGTCAATCTTGAGAATGGATTTACGCCGAAACCGAAGAAAGAGTTTGTTTCGTCTGCTCCGCCAGAAGAGAAGAAGGAAGAACCCCCAGTATTGAAGACGGAGGAGGTTTGGAATCGGGAATGGGGAGGGGGATAGGAGTGATGGGGCGAACTTGGGATGGAGATTTTCAAATGGATGAAAACTATCCGAGAAAAAAGGGGTTTGGAATATTGCTGTCATGTAATACTCATCAGATTTTCCACAAATTACCGTGGCTCCACATATTCACACCCAACAGCTCCAAGAAGCCTATAACAACTTGCTACAAAAGAATACAGAGTTACAAAAACTACTTGGCGAACGAGATGAGAAGATTGCTTCATTGACTGCTGAACTGGAACGTTTGAAGAGTGATTAAAACAAAATTATACTCTCTCACTCGAGTATGGTATTTATTATCTGTATTTTTGTTTGCTTTTCGATTCGAATATATTTATAGGCGTTCTTCTGGTTAGATAAAGTAGAGGCAGAGGGGGGTATTATCGAACTTGGTTTGTAGTAGCTGTTTGATGAAAATGGAATAGAGTACAAATCTTGATAGAGAATAAAACGTGGATATAATAAAGACTTTTTTTTACATCTGGTTCTCTCACAAAAGTGTTGAGCGAACTGACCAGTAAACACTAAGTAATGAAGTGTTACAAAAGTCTTTGGATACAGATGTTTAACTTCAAACAGCTGTGTTATTATTATATCAAATGACTAAATACTCGAAAAATTAGACTAAAAAAAATATCAAGTGTTCGTTCACATTATTATAAACATAAGTTGACAACATTCCTTAACTCTCCTCTTCCCTTGTACTTGACAATGACCTGCAGGTTTTCAATAGGTTTAGATCAGGTTTTATAGAATCTTTATTAGCATTTACAGAAAACCACTAATACTAAAGCTGCTTTTAGACAACAAGTACATATTAATATGGGGCAGACTACATTAAATTGCTGATGGTTTTATTTATTGATTGCAACTAGCAAGATACTATTCATTTTAACATTTTATATATTTTATTGATACTATTAATAATCTTATTCTTCTTTATCTTGACATGATGAATATTGCAATAAGACACAAAGTACTTGTATTAGGTAGATACCTGAAGTCTTAATATTAGGTAACTATTAATATTTTGCACTGGCCAGCGTGTCATGTTCATATAAAAAATTCAATAGCGAATTCAGAAGCCGGATTATTTTCCTGCTATCCAAATTTTCTGGTATTAAATAAACCCACTTTCTAACTCAAATTTAATCCATGATAATAGGGAGACTCGATATGTCGGATTTGGAATTCGGACAAAATTTTCGGCCCTTTTTTGAATAGTTAAGAATTTTCGATAAGTCGGACGACACGTATAAAATCAATCCTGTCGGCTAGATTATAACACGATAAGTCAGACCACGTATAATCTTTAGTAACGTAACAAAATAATTACGCGTCATTATTTAGCATCTAAACAATATTTTGTTATCTTACGTCATCATTTCTTTATCGCAATATATTATTTGTAATACATTGTATAACTGTCTTAATCGTCAATAAAAAGGTTGACATAGTCAATTGCTTTCAAATGCATTAGAAGAAGAAGACGAAGAAATCATAAGCAATTTAATATCAAATATGGATGCTTTGAATAGCATTCAAAATATTTACAATATAGTTCTGATATTAAAAAATGCATCGGGGATAAAAAACCTTCAGTGTCAAAGTCAAAGAAAGCGAATCGCAGCTAATTTTAATGGGAACTAGCAAAACGTTGTGATGTATGAATTTAGTTCAATACTCGCGCTGTGTTGAGGGAGGTGTAACAGCACCTGTTTGGAGGTAGCAAGCGTTAACTAGGATGCACGGACGTTAAGCTGAAACATGAGGAATCGCTTCTCTAAAACTGCCTATTTTATAAATTTATTATATAAAAATTGAATTATATATTACATTTTAAAACAGTTTGTATTAACTCATAACATGCAAATAAAAAGTACGTTTATGATTTATTATTATGATAAAGTCGGATATCTCGTTAAGTCGGAAACAGGTGTCCGCCCCGACGAGTCCGATTGCCTTGTGTATAATCTAAGTTTTACAAGAAGATCAGGGATATCATCACCCCAGTCAAAAAATTTACTTGATAGGTAGATTATCCTGTAGCGCTAAAATTTGTCCCTGCAAATTTAAAAATACTCTAGTAAGAATTTTCTTTCTTTAGCCTTCCATTTCTCATATCGCTCATAGAGCCTGTTTTGATTATATTCTAATAAACCCTATCCGCTCTACATCGTTGTAGATGGTGAGCATTTTACTGATACAATAATTGTAAGGCAAATTTTTCTTGCATTAGTAATGATGACGTGAAATGGACATACAACAGTACTCTGTAACATCTGAATTTATCATCAACTCGCCTTGCACGTACTTACACGCTTTGATATCCTATAATGTGGCTTCAATTTACTTGATGAGTTGATACTTTCACTGATTTGTTTGTCGGTCTGCGCCTGAGCCATGTTCAAAATATAGTTGGCGCAGCGTCAATAAGAAAAGAGTGCTATTACCAATCCGCTTCTTACTAAAACTCAAATAATTCTCCCATAATCCACAGTTCTAACATTGCTGATAAAGAAAGCTAGCAAAAATGTGAAACACGTAACTGATTCTCCTACAGCTGTTTTGTCAACTTCACGCGTGTTGTTATGTGATTCAGAAATTATGCCATTATCAGTTACGCGGGAAGGCGAAGAGATGTTCGAGTATCTCGTGACACGGCAATTTGGGTGCATTATGTATGTTACGAAAGGATATATGTCAAATAATATTAACACTATATTAATATGTACACGCATTCGGAGACTCGTACTGAATGAATGGGCAGGCATATTTGTACTTACTTGTGGATCACCTGTTTGATACCAACAAGATTTTTTCTGGCGATAAATCAACGTACAGTCAACTCTCTCTAAATGCACTCCCTCTAAATGCACACTCTCCTTAAGTGCACGGTATTTCAAATTCCCAACTGAGAGAATTAGTGATAAGTGCACACTCTCCCTATTCTGCACGTGCAACTGATTTCATAATCCCAAAGCCTCATTTCAATATGAAAATATTCTCCGTAAATGCACGCACGTGACTCTTGTGCATTAGTAGCGTAGTGGTAGAATATTTGTTTTCTAAGCAAGTTGCCTCAATTCAACTCCCGGCTGATGCAGTAGTTAAGTTGCCAAATGTGGCGTGATTTTACCAAACCGCCAATCGTTTACATCAGGCCATCCGATATTTAATCAGACTATTAGTACCTGACGACAATGAAATCATCAATGAACTTGTAGGAATGTTTAGAATAGGAGAAGTAGCAGTAATTTGGAAGACATGGATGAATAACACTGAAACAGTTGTTATCAGTGCTAGTGTTGCGTTAAAAAGCTTGGAGATCGTACATTTTTGATTCAACAAAAGAACAAGTGAAAATGACGAATATTCTTGAAAGGTATATTAGGGAAAGAAATCTAATATGATGCGACAGACAAGCATAGATCAGTATTTTATGCAATGATTATTATTATGTGAAAAGCCAATAAATTACAATAAAATATATATTCCGTTATCACGTGATCTACTAATACAAACTCCCTAAATGCACACTCATTGTTATCCCTAAATGCACGCTCTCAACTTTTCATTCCCATTTAGGGAGAGTTGACTGTACTGAATGTTCGCCAGCATTGATTCTGATGACATGATTACACGATAATATGTTCTGCGTCACACAATTTAACGAAGGAATGCTTGTTTATAACTGGGGATTATTTTTAATTACAATAGTAGCGGATGCGATGGGAGCTATGTAGGGGGGGTTAGTAAATTTAGATGTCTATTCGACGTCGCCTGCGTCTATATCAAGTCAAAGACTGATTGGGTTGAACATAATTCTAGTTTTCGACCGATCTGTTCAAGAACATTGTAATGGTCTCATAATAGAGAACATTCAATACTGATACTGTTAAGCAATTCAAGGTTTACCTTAGTTGCGTTTGTAAAGGACACGCAAATTAATACTATTATTTTGCGACCCGTTCGGGGTGAAAACGAGATTGCGACTCACGGAATTAGAAGGCATCAAACCAAATCGCCAGTTAGTTAGGTAAAGGAGAAGGAGGGGGACCGGATGCATCCCCCTTCGCCTCACTGACTTTATGTAAAGAAACGACTACTGATGGATTGACCATCAAAAAAGTCAATCTTGTACCATCATTTGTTTATATTAAAGTGGCATACTCCATGTATATTTGCGGAACTCCTTGGTCATACAATTACAATAAGAAACTGTTTCTTATATAAAGTGATAAAGTTGCAGCCATGTCTTGCGGACTGTTGCTCGAGTCCCTTAAGAGCACCAACGTAACTCAAAGTAAATATCTTTCTGCGATTATTATTTTGTCTGTTAGAAAATTGTTAACTGAATTGCTCTTATACCAACAGAAAATCAATGCTTATTACGTCCACTATAATGTGAAATAATTATGATAACATGAAAAGCCTATTGTTAGTTTGATTAAAAAGTTTGATGTAAGTACATACTTTTCTCAACTCTGTCAGTCGTCCATTCTGCAAAGTTTTGGTCTATTTGCCATTCGTCACACATTTTGTTCTGTTATATCGCAGATTTGGGAAATTATGAAAGCTGTATATACAAGTTGACATTTAAATTCTACGGAGTGTACGAATATGTAAAAACTCTATGCACATATCGAACTATGAGATTAGCGCAGCGCAACAATTCATGTGTTTAATGTGCTGTGTGGCAATACTTTTCGTTAAATTAATTCGGAATAAATTATGAATCAAAGTTCAAGTGTTATTTCTCAAATCGCTAGCTTCTCTTCCCCGTTTAAAGACGAGATAACTTCAAATCGAATGTGAAATTAATTAATAACGGAAAACAATAGCTGTAAATTACACATCAATCATGCTGTATCGCTAACGTAGTTCACCAAGCCGACAATTACCACCTTGAAAGTTGGCTTGCTAACAGTATGTCGACAAGTATAATGATACAATAACCATATCTTTATGGTTATCAAAGGTAATGATGCTAGATGTTTAATCCTGCACGTCATTCAGAGATGGAGATCCAACGCATCATTCCGAACTCTCATTTCCATATCCGCGCGGTGTTTGTTACATTGCAGTTAATTTAGCCAATCATAAATAGATTTCAATAATGAATCCGGATTTATGATTAATAAGAGATGATTAATTTGAAACTTACAATTATTTGTGTAAGTTTGCAACAGAGAACTCCTCCTCTCGCGGCTAACGGAATTCAAGGCTTTTTGTTTTGGGGTGGTCACCGGGTGATTTTCGCGGTAATGAGAGACGGCTTAACTGGGCCTTAACAAGCACCTTGCTGTGAATAAAGATTCCTCGCAATCTACCATATGAGAATGAGGCTATTGTACAATTTTCTATCGAGAACTATATTACAGAAGTGCAAATTCAAAGCCTCTTTAATATTATCGAAACATTATGTAATTATAAGTTCTGTATCAAACCTTACCAGTAGATTGCTGTTCAATAACATATCCGAAGCGTGAACGCACCGACCTGAAAACTACAATGTGCGACTTTTCTGGGGATGGAAAGGACAGTTATAGTTTGCCGAAGCAGATAACTCGGATAGAAGAAAACAAATGCAGAAGGGAGAGGAAAGAGGCGATAAAACATAGTGTTAGTGAAGCTGGAAAACATGTTTAATTAACAATATTAATATTAGCCAGTTCATTGTTTTCTCAATGTATAAACCGGATCTTTTTAACTCGGCTTGCAAAATTTTGATTGTGCAATGCATATAAGTCTCGGTTATCATAAAAACTGGCTTGTGATTGTCAATTTCAACGCAGAACCAAATAGTTTATTACTTAAATTGAAATATCGCTAAGTAGGTATGTCACGGTTTTTGGTTATAAAAGACGGAATCCAAAATATCTGTTACCGAACCATCAACGCAGAAAGTTGCTCTGATATTACTCGGAGAGAAAAAAATCTACTATTATGTATTGTATAAATTGTTATTCAGTCAATTCATTCTGTTATTGTTGCGAATTGTTTTAATAAACTTTATCATTATTACAATACGAAATTTGTACGTGTTAGTGTATAAGCAATACTAATACAATAACAGTCACACATTTGTTCAGGTCTGGATTTTTTTTCATAGTAATTTTTTTCCCCCAGTCACATTCATAGTGTTAGTCGCAAATATACAATGCGAAAACGCCGTTGAAGGAACATAATTTTTATGTAAACATTTGATTACGCCAACTGGTTTTTTATATTCTAGAAATCTCCCTTTGCAAAGGATAGAATATGGACTAACAGTCCAATTATTTAAGCGAATGACGGATTTGTGGGGAGCTTAGATTATCACGTATGAATCCAAATATAACTTCATTTGGTAGGGTGAATGGTATTCTTCAACTTTTGAAATCTTTTGTCAACTCGTTTGTTTGCTTCTGTGAATAAAAAATTTTGTTATGATCTTCGAAGAAATGTAAATTGAATAAAAAAACCACAAAGTGACAGAACGTAGATACTTTGAAGCTTTAGTAAAGACTAAAATAAATGTTTCAGTTGCAGGTCATGGCAAGGTTCAAAAATTAAAATTCGAGAAAAATTAAATTATTCAGTTGTTTCTTTCCAGATCCATCCAATATTGTTTCACTGCCACTGAATCAGCTTGTTCCTGGTTTATAGAGAGTTTGATGAGTAGCTACTTCTAAATTATTTCTTGAGAATATGTTGTACCAAAGGGACACACGCAACACAAAGGTCATAACTCCACAACACAGAGGTTAGGAGGTAGCGTGGAATCCACACCAGCACTGGGGTCATCCCCCATTGACACAGAGGTCGAACAAAATAGCTCCCTCGACGACACAGAGGACGCATGAGAATGGGATAGGACAATGGCAAGTTAACAATATTCTCCATTGACGTACGCACAAAGGTCAAGTGGAAAGATTGGGATGACAGATGTTATACCATTGGCAAAAAAGTATGAAACTTCACCTTAGACAAGCTTGCGCGCGAGTTTTTCTTTGTGGCTTGATGGTATCGTCTTAGAAATGAGACTAAGTGTCCCTTATACAAACTGTAGGCTTTGTTTTTTTTTGTTGGACGTTTGTATTCCAGGAAGTCAAGTAACGAGCAGTAAGTTAAATCTTCGAAGTACGCGTCAGTAGACATAGTTCGCGTTTATTTACACATCAATTTTGATTTATAAACTCCGCTCGACCAATCAAAAAAATTTTTTCATTTAAAAACGTTGTTCGTTGTAACGATAAATACAGTAATAGTTGATCAAACTTGGCAATACATACTATAACGCTAATCCCTATACGTAACGTTCGTATCCAAGTAAGGGAATTTGGTCACTTTTGTTTAAACGAAATTGAAACAAACATTATAGTCGTTGAATATTATTTAGTTACTATACGCTTTTAGGTATTTCACTGAATCATTCTGCATACGCGTTGTTAGTCCGACTTATCACTTTATAAACTTTATCTTTTTAACTTTAAGCAATAAGTATTGCCTGTTTTCAATAATTCAACGACCAACGATAGAAAGACATAATTTTAATTTAAGGAAAATTAAATTTGTTCTTTATTCCGCGGAAAAAAAATTAACTGCATATTTTAATATTACCAGTCATGGGACATGTTACCGTGTAGCCAAATGTTGTGTCTTACTCCCCAAGTCGTATATGCTTTAAGATTTTCGTTTGAAGTTGGAGTAGCTTTAAACTTGTTAAACGTTTTGTTCAAGCGTTTTTTATTTCCCAACTATTACGTCAAACTCAAACTAACGTTTCCGTTGTCTTTAAACACAGTGCGAACATGAAAAGGCAATGCGTATGAACTGTTGCAGACATAAGACAGAATCTCACGTCTGCCTCCAACTGAAATATTTACTAATAGTGTGGTACACTATATATACTAATATACACTTACTCACGAAACTGGCAAGTCATTCAAGTCATGTCTCTTAGTAAAACTTGCATCTGGTACCGAATGTTAACGGTTACCGGGTGTGAGAAGACACATTTAACTCAAAAAACCAAAAACACTCGATCGTTATTATATTAAGACAATACGTTGAAAACGCTCTCATAAGTAAACCTTCGAAAGCTACAATAAAAACAATAATATATAATAACGGTTTGAAGTACTTTTATTTGTTATCTAAAAAACCACAAACCTAATCTTAACCAGGCGTAACTGCTTAAATATTCTAGCTTTAGTACGGAAAGGTGGTCGTTCTGTTGTCCAAGTAGAGTCAACGTACAGTGTGTTGCTGGAACTTAATGAAAATGTGAAAGGCGGAGATCTAGGTTTTCTTAAGGTCCAAGAACTGTTTGATGTCAACTATTAGTTGAGAAAATTGATTTAGCAATGAATTCATCTTTGAAAACATTGTTAAAGGTTTTACAGAATAAAAATTACTTGGTTCAAATTCTCTCAGTTGTGTTTTCAAACAAAAAAAAACTTGAAAAACATAATGTTTTTTAGAAAACGAGAATGCTAAGTTAGAGAAAACTATCCAAGAGTTAAAAAAAAAACAAGAAGAATTAGAAGTAAGGTAGAAGAATTGGAAAATGGAGTGAGAAAAATCTGAAAAGCCTTAGAATAAATAGATTAAAAAGATGAAAGCCCAAGGTTTGTATTACACATTAGTTTGTTTACAGAGACTATCAGAGCCAAGATGATTTGGAAAAAGCTTTTGAAAAAATGAAAATTTTGTGGCATATAAACAACTTCAAAAATTACCAGTCTTACCAAAGAAAACTAATAATGATAAGTTTAAACAATTGAGTAGTAAGATAAAAAGTAAGGTAAACCAAACTAAGAAAATAGTTAACATTAAGAAGTTTAACACATATATATTACAAAAGAGCAAGTAACATGAAATGATTTGTCAGTTGAGACGAGGAGACTGTAATTTCTGTTCTAAAAAAATACTAATAAAAACTGCCTCGTTAATACCGCATTTGCTAGGGTTTTTCTATAACGGATGCTAACCGAGAGGTATTATATTAATATGTCAGTTCTATCAAATATACTTGATACAACGGATATCATGTTCAGCAATCAAATTGTACAATTCGTTAATTTAACATTATTCACGTATGCGTAAAACTTGAACAAAATCAAACCATGAGACGGAAAGAACGTAAATATCTAAGTATCTGAAGTGAATTACTCTATCAGGCATACCAAAAACGGATTATGCAAATAAACATGATAACACGAGCTTGACAAGTGTATAAGCAGTCTGTATCAGACGTTCTGACTTCTGGTAAATTTCAATGAGATAGAGAACTGGAGTGTAAAGCCAATGATGCGATTGTAAGACTCGACAATGCGTGTATATACACAGTAGAAGTCGATATAACGGACTAGTCGGAACCATAGTCTTTTTCACACTTTTGTCCGTTATATCAAATTTTTATTAAATAGTAATTTAATCTAACACTTATAAATTCCGTCCCAGAGAGAAAGTCCGTTATCATTAGCGTCCGTCATATGGACGGTCCGTTATATCGACTTTCAAACAAAACAATCTCGGAATTAGCGCCTCCTTGATGAAAGATTTAAAAGTCTTATCATCTTGGGAAAGAAGAAGCAAGCCACGCTAAGACTTTACTGTTGATTGACTTTCCTCGTATAATAACATACTTGTTCAGTAATTGTATATAACATTTGTATTTAACTTAATCAAAAATTGCTTAGTACATGACCTGTTATCGTTATGAAAACTCGATGTAGCGGATCTCTCGCTTTAACGAGGAAAATTTACTGCGTCGTTAAACCAATATTTTTTTAAAGAAATTCTTTGGCAACGTTGCTTGTACGGCCAGAATCGTGATTCGCTGGAGCTGCTACTTCTTATTATTATCATGTATCTTGTTAGTTCCAGAAATGTGTTTGCGCATGAATGTTTACACAGAATCGGAAGACGCTGAGACCGTTCTGCTTGTTCCAAAGACTTTCGTAACACTGTGTATCTAATGCCCACAGTCTTATCCGACTTTGAAAGTAGCGTTTGTAAAATTGCATTGATCTAAACTACAATAGGTTAGACGGATAGAAAAGATCTGGTTCACTAAATGCCGGAAAAGCCGAATTCTGTTGTATTCCAAATTGAGCGAAACCATGCACATAATATATGATAATGACTCTTAGTCTGAACGATTCTGGGATTTGTTGTCACAATTAATTTATGAACTATATAATTGTGGTGATACCAAATACATAATAAAGTTTTTACCTTTGTCACAGACTTTGTTTTTAAAGTAAAAAGGCTGTCAATGTTACTTTGCAAAATGACAAAGCAAGTATGACAAGTATTAAAAATTGCGTTTGCTCTTATGGACCAATATTCATGTTATATCCGTGAACGTTCAATTATCTGGTTGAACATCCGTTCTATGGCATTATTTACAGGACCTTGTCGCATTTCATCAACATTAACTTGTAGACGTGGCTAAGGTTAAATGGAACGAGTCATTTACTCTAAGATAAGCTATCCTTATAGTCTACGGAATTCAATTTCTGTGACAACTATGCAGTAGTTACTTAAAGATCCAGATATCGCATTTCTTACAATAGAGAGAGATTGGACGGCTACCAGTTTGCGTAAGGTGCACATTCTTTCCTTTGATTAATATATAAGAAGCCTCATGTCTCATATTCACTTTTACTGTTTATTCGATATTATTGTGAACCACTAATTCCCATATCGATCAGGAATATTATTCCCTGGATTGTAAGATATAACTGCTTGGAAAAATTAATGAAAATATTCCAAATGCTAACAATCTTTGTAATTCAGAACGCTAGGGATTTGATGCAATAAAGCGAATACATAGATCTGCCAATAAGGACAACAAAGCTTTGTCTTTCTAAAATATCAGACGTACACTCTCCAAAAAAAAGCACTTGAACGGAGATTTAATGTACTAGAATTTTTGAGTTTCGATGACGTTAGATTGCGCCCCGCCTACATGTAAAAATGCTCGCACAATTTCATCGAAGCATGTTGAAAAGTTGTAAGTTTGTTAAACAAACAATAAAAATCCGTGATATTTATATGAAATACCACGTCCAGTAACGAGTTTAATTAAAATTCATCGTTTACGATTGTAATTAAACCCATTTACTAGAAACGCTGAAAACAAATTCCTTAATTAGACGCGTTGACTTATATTGCTTTTGATAATTAATACATTCTTCGACTAAGAGCTGTTGTCTAATAATAGTAGTCTTGTGCATCATTGTTGAACAAAACCGTTTGTTGCCGATACGGAAATTAGAAATATTCGATAAATACAATATAGATTTTTTAGTACAATATTTTGAGAGAGAGCTTATACCTTAGCGATAGAAGTAAAATAAAATTTTAGATAAGCCTTAATTGACGCGAGCGGTAAGCAAGACTCACTTCTGGAACTAAAAAAATATTCCCCGAACAAAACGCTCTTCCAACCGTAGAATTTGTATTGTATGTGAAATTTAAACTATTCAACTTTTTTGGGAAGAACGATAAAATTAGTTTTGTCAAATTTTAATTTTAAGTTTAATTTTATTCGGATGGACCATCCATTATACATGCTTCAAACCTTCTTGGCTTTCGATTAAATTCGATACGTATTGGTGACAATTTTCCTTCACAATATTTGGCGTTTTTGGGATCGTATTTGATTCGATTAAGGTCAGGAGAGAAGGCCAATCACGTAAATATTATTTTCTTTAACATTTTGCACAGAATATGTACATTAAAGTCACTTTAAATTAATAGCAAAAGCTTTTAGTCTTGATAATCTTGATAATTCATTTTTCAATCGGCTCATACTAACCTCTTCCCGAAAAGCCATGATTTTCCTTTGCCTGAAGATGCAATATTGTCCGGATACTTTCCCGGGTTAAAATCATACTGTGTGGCTTGGATCTGTAATATATCAACTCACCCAAATAAGTTTTTTCTTTTACAGGTTTACACAAGTTAGTTGCTTACATACATGACTGTTTATTCTTAAGCGCAGTATCAACGACCATGCGCGTCTCAAGCATGGTAGTTCAAATCCACGGCGATACCAAATTGTCCTTCAAGATACTGTCATAAAGGCTAAACCGGTAGGTAACCTCGTTATTTCGGTTTGAATAAAAAATCATGAGGGTAAAAAACTTTTTTCAGTTCAGTCTTTTACATCTTGTCAAAAGAGATAAGCTTCTCACAATCTTTTTTGTTTTGCACTTTGTTAATAAAGAAGACAACCAACAAGCTCCGAAACACCAGCAGAAGAAAAGTGATGAAATAAGTATACGAATTATTGACAGCACTTTCGTTCACGAATCAGAACCTTTGGGAAATAGAAGTAACTTGTACGGACGAACGAAAAAATAGCACCTCCTGAGTAGAGAAAAAAAAAGTCTTGTATGTGAAATATCCTCCGAATAAGCAGTTTCTGCTGACAAGCTCTCGGAGTGGAACATCAAAGCAAAAACATCGGTCCAGACGCAAACCATAGGATCTTCGGATATCACCTATCGAATCTTTTCATCGAAAGCATAAGCTACGAGTTTCAGCTCTAAGCGGACTAGCAAAAACTATTACTGAAACACGTTGAAGAGTAAACCGAAAAATCCAACCCTTTGTTGTCCCCATTCATGGATACCTCATAGAAGCAATAATGATAGTTGACCCGATACGGAGACATACGGGGAAGTAGATCGGTTGCCGTTCTCATTAATAATGGCCTTTGTAATATAATGGAAATTCAAAGTTATAGGCAATGTTTACTAAATGTGTTTCATTCACATTATTGGGATCCGAGTATGGTGCCCCCCAATCACAGATCGAAAGTTCTAAAACAGAATGTAAATAAGCCTCGAAAGTTACGATTGGTATGTACAGAAGACGTTGGTTTTATAACCATTGTAACCAGGTTGGTCAATCTGCAACAGACATTGTCTATTGTAACCAATCAGGATAAATTAACAAATGAACGTTCAAACTTTTCCATTGTACTTTTAGAAACTTCGTGTTCCATGACCACAATGGAAATTATTGAAAGGCCGGAGTAAATCAGAAAGACTGGGTCCGATATGTATGACATTTTACGGCACATATGCATACGAATATGCGTTAGTACTTTTAAATAAGGTTGTAAAGGAGCAAGGTGCAAGTTACAACGTTAGCATATGATAGTCACAGGTCGAATACCCATTCCTGTGAACCTCAAGCCACAAATATGTGATATAGTACCATACAATAGGAATCTCAAAAAACAAAGAAGTCGAAAGGTACATGTTAAAAGCTCTTCAAAGGTTGCGCCTCTTGCAACTGCGTTCAATGGCAATGGCAACGCATTAACCAAATACCAACATTTCCATTCATCTCAATTAACATACTCTTCAGGCTCATTGGACATTTCGACCCATTTAAGAGTAAATCCATTTATCACGTGTCGTCAAGGACAAATATTACACAAGCGTATTACGATATCGCGCAATTGCGGTTGGATGAAACAGGAGAATCATTTACAAACTACTGGTATTTTGTTTCAATGCTTTCGATTTGGAATCTACCATAACTTCGTTACTCAAACTGATAATCTTCGTTTATGCGAAGCCATCTCTCTAAACCTAAATATAACCAGTGTTGCCTGATTCTTTGTAATCCTTATTTTTAGAAAATTTGATCACGCGGATAATTGAAGGTGATACAAAAAGCAACAATAAGTAATGCATTCCTTAAATACATTCTCTCTGACATGAATCAAATAATATTCCATATTAATTTCTTTTCAGCTGCCTGTATTTGTAGTGTAGGGTAACAATAACATTTGTATTGGCTTGAAATTAATGATTGTACTTTCGAAAAACGACAATCCATTAAGATAAGGTATGTTACAGTGTGTTTGTGTGTGTGTAATCCCATAGACTACCAATCGTGGAAATACCGTTTCGTAATGTTAATGAGTTTAACCATATTTTTAAATAATACCTTCAATTGGTTCAAAATCGTATAGTTATAATACAAAACGCTACAGATTGTCGAGAATTCCCGCAAATGAAGGCGCAAAAGGATGAACGTACAGGATGTATGTCGTATGCGGCATGCGTGGTGATCGATTGTTGAGACCAGGAAAGCTACGCATTGCGGCTGTATGCAAGTCTTGCAAATCGCACAGAACATGGTCAGATTGAACAGTATAATTGTTTCGTCATTGCACAAGAACAACGAATAAATTGACGTAATGTCTACGTTATGAACCACCAAAACCCGCAACCGTTTTTCCTTGGTATAATGTTTAAAATCTCTTTCAAAACATCAGTTATGGAGAATAGTTTCCGCAACCGCCTTATACGGCACTTCCGGAACGGTTGCGGCACCTCGGCTTTTACCGACATTAGCCAAGGATAATATGATTTCACTGGTGAATTCTTGCAAAGCACGAAAATTGAGAAACTTGCGATTGGTCACTCTGGCAACGTATCGAGGCGAAATGTTATGCGGGTCTTGATCGAATAACCAAAATTTAGAAATTTCCGCCCAAAATTATTTAGTTGGTATGTTTCTCAAGGAACACCTGGTATTTATTGGCAACAAGCCACATGATATGCTTCGACAGAGCGGAGGACGTTCAAGCCAAGAGTTATAATGATTAGCAATGATAAAATACAGGTCTTATCAGTCTTACAATAAATTCTTATTGTTGACCCATTTATAGCGAGGCTACTCTGTTGAGATATAGTTGACATACGTGGGAATAAAGAAATTGATCGGAATTACATAACACGAATTCCGAAAATTTACTAGCGCTATCACTGTGCTTGAAAATCAGTATGCAAATGGAAACAAGGTGCATTTTGTGCTTTGTATTTTTTTCATGCTCCTTGTTCGCTGATCACTATCTCTTCATTGACCGCTGCATTAATTTGAATATGTATAAATGTTATTGTTACATGTAACTACTGTGCCACAACTTTACGTAAAAACGGGTATGGCCAAAATAAGGGGCCTGCTATGGTAGATAAAATATACATACTATTGTAGATGTTCACGTGATTATAGTTATTATTAGCTACTATTGTACTTACTATTGATAGTTTTGAAGCATATTTCTGTATCATTTTGACAATAAAGTTCATGGAACTACGGTACTTCACATTCTTTTTTGCACATATCGTCATTAGACTTTCTATATACGAATATGTACTAAACCAATAAACAGTGGAGCGTTCTAATTCGTATGTGATGCCCTTGCTGAAAAAAAAAGGGGAAAAAAAAAAACGCCTCCCCCACTCTTACTAAAAACTCTCATGTTTTCGTTTTAATCATTGTTTACGCTTCAAACAACGCGTCCACCAACAGAGATGTCGGTGTTGTTGACGAGCGTCGTGTCTTTCGCGTTCTCATTCTCATTATTTATTACTATAAATGAGTAAACAAAGCATGCTTTACGCCAAGACATAGTTCATGCACAAAAGCGATTAAATGAGGATAAACAAATGTAGTTTTCGTGACACTTGTCACTCGGATGGAAAATAAACGTTTTATTAAAGACCTTGTCATACCATAGTCGAACCAAGATTGGCCCGGAGTTTGGTAGAATTAACAATGCTATCACGGTTAATAATGGTGTACCGATGATTCCCGTTTCATCACCGATTTAACACGCATACTCCTGATGGGTCCTATTTTGGTCAATTACGTAAAGCAATTGTCACCAGCCAAAAGATATAAATTCCCTTCTCGGACCACTCCCGTCCCCTGCTTTTTTTACCCACTTATATAATACTCACTTTTTGATATAATCAAACACGTCAGACATATTCATCATGGACAATAGAAAGCGTAATATATGGGGTCCTGTCTATAACAAAGAGAATGATGACATTGATACTGTAGATCTGACTATACCACATCTTACAAACAAACGTTTGAAGAAAGAAGATCCAACATTTGGAAAAGGTGGATTAGGAGGAGAAAGAGACAGAGAGGGAGGGGGGGAAAGAGGAGGGAGTTACGGTGAGTAAGTGACCGGACATACGCGTTCAGAGTGAGGGGGGAGAAAGGAAGCGTGTTTGTATGCTATGGACAGTGTGTTGTGGTGAGATGTGTTTGTAATGTATTTGCTACATATTCAAATCAGAAGCATCAGTCTATGTTCCAAAACCACTACAAGACATTAAGAAAGGTAATTCGCATCAGAATACAATAAATAAAGGAAAAAAACACGCGTTTCAACAACATTCTTCTTTCAATGGACTGAATGCCACTATTACCGTCAATTTAGAATCTACAAACATAAATCAAGAGAACAATTATAATTCTCAGTATGACGTCCACGCTTGTAAGTAGAACACAAAAGCATAAACGTTATGCAATGTGATATTGATTTAATTCACATATTATTTAACTTTACCCTTTTATCTACACCAAAGACACACATAGTCTCTTTTCTGACCATATTCAACAACCGCCTTACGCACAGTCGGACACTATGTATATGCCATATACTGATCTCACAGATACATACCCATCCAGTGCATTTCCAGATTTTTACGAATCTCATACACAGGCCAACGAAACATCGGCTTCCCTTTCTCAGATACTCAACAATGATTCAACTTACTCTCTAGACAATATATTCTCCCCAGAGATCAGCTCGCCTTATTTTAATCAGGACATTCAATATAGTCTCCCTACAACACAACAGCCCCTTCCTTCAATATCTCCTTCGCACCTTACAGATTCTCTTCCTACAGACTCTAGTACTCTTCCTACAAATTCTCCTGCTATAGATTCTATTTCTCTTCATTATGTAAATTCCCCCCCTATGGACTCTGCTTCTCCCCAACCCCCAAGTTCTTCTCTACCCCTCTCCCCATCCCCCACCCCCGATCCGTCGAATTCATCCGACTCAACGAGTGAAATTTCAGATAACCCGTTTGACGACAAAGCCGTTAAAGATGCAATGAAACAGTTAAATACAGCCGATGGACAAATCCCTGGGCTAATTCCAAAGCTATTTGCTCATCAGGTTATTGGAGTTTCTTGGATGGTTGGCCAAGAGAAAAGGTCGACGACAGTCAAAGGAGGAATATTGGCCGACGATATGGGCTTGGGAAAGGTAGGAAACGAATGGATAAAATGTGCTATAATCCAGACCTCAACTCAGAGTGCGTCACTGTTTGATACGACTTGCATATCTTTCAGTCGATCACTCACAATTCAGTGTTCTGGTATTACACCAAACAAACTTCCATCCCTGATAGTCATAGCTCTAAATGGTCATGAAACAATTAGGTGATTGATTACGTTTTGCTTTTTAATTATACAGACCATCCAAACAATAGCAACAATTCTTATCAATCGACCTAAGACGGATGAACCCAAAACTACTCTTATCGTTGCTCCTTCTTCGTTGGTTTATGTTTGGGACGACGCAATAAAAAAACATGTCGATGAAAGTAAGGAATATCTGTTTGTATGTTTGAAATAATAGAAAGAATTTGGCATGAATCGATTATAACAAACCGATTATTTTATCAAGGTCAATTTAGTGTGCGTATCCATCACGGTCCTGGGCGCACACTCAGTATTAAAGACCTTGAAGCACATGATATTGTCATTACTAGTTACGACATCATTCGAGCTGAATTTGCACGCAAAGACAATCGTGGTCCTTCGGTTCGTGCTCGTTGGTATCGCATTGTGCTTGATGGTAAGGCGAGAACAGAGAAAGTGGCGGTTGAGAACGATAATCGTGCTGAAGGGAGTATGTTGGTTTTCATATAATTTCCATTAACTTTAAATTCACTATTACAGAATCTCATGTTATTAAGAACCATCGTAGTCGAGGTAGCTTGGCATGCAGCGAATTAAATGCTACTTATCGGTGGTGTCTGACTGGTAAGTTTTGGCTGGGGAAAGACTGACTGGAATGAAGAGTTTCGAAAAAATTATTAGTATAGAAAGCTGTGTCGTATGTATGTATGCGAATTCAAAGTAACTTAAAGCGGTAATTTTTCTTTTACACTTCCGCACATAGGTACACCTATTCATGTAAGTTTTCTACAACCGATCTTTGCTCGCAAATTATCTTTTTTCCTGTCTCACAATCTTCTTCCTTTTTCCTTGTGCTTTTAGAACAAAGTTGATGACCTCTTTTCCCTATTCCGTTTCCTTCATGTGGACGAATATGGAGAATGGAGTGAATTCCGTCGGTTGTTCCGTCACAACTATTACCAAGATAAACTTTCTCAACAGAATGTACTATCACGAGTTATGCTCAGAAGGACGAAGACGTCAAAGTTGGGTGGAAGGCCGATTTTAAACCTACCAGAAAGGGTACCGGAAGGTGTAAAACTGGAGTTTTCAACTGAAGAAAGAGAGTTTTATGACGCATTGGAAAAACGCGCGGCAGTAATCTTTAACAGATATATGAAGAAAAACAATGTAATTAAGAATTATGCCCATATTCTATCATTGCTGCTGTCGCTTCGAAGGGCATGTGATCACCCATTTTTGTAAGTATACGTAATAAAAATACCATAATTGACTTTGACGCTCATTTGCTAATAGTTCTATATTCACGATACATCATGAATCGTATAGGGCTCAGCAAAGTATAGAGTTCAATGAATCGCTTCAAGCTGATTTAGGCAAAGCGCTCAAGTCGATGCCAGATGGGACTCTGACCTGGCAACAGTTGCGTCCTGAACCAGAACCAGCACAGAATCCAGAACAGAATTTAGTAGAAAATGCAACATTTGTACATACCGGTGCAGAAAGCAACCCTTCCAACGTCTTTTCAACTATCAACCCTAATTTCAAAATTGAAATTCTAACCCCACCGTTATCCGACAACTCTGCACCTGTCTCGACCGCTGGCGGTTATTGCTCGGTGACTGATTCTGAACGTAGTCTTGGCTTTGGTCAAGCAGTCAACTCTACATCGCAGTATAATTCAGAGTTTTATGGCGAGGTTAATAATAATGAGTGGACAAGAGTGAAACTCGAATCAGAAGAGTCTTTTGAATCGACGACGACTGGAATATCAAGAGATAGTGGATACGGAGAGGAGCTGTATAATCCTATAGAATTGAACACGAAAGCCAGTATAAATGAAACCACATGCGATGGCAATCTCCCACCTGTTGAGGATCTGCTTACATATCCATACAGCGAGTTATTGCCCACTATAGAGACTCAACTGGCAGACAATTTGCCAGAAATTGAATTAACTGATAAAATAGACAACAACCCAATAAATGCATTAGATGTGAAACCAAACGTCAGTTCATTGAACGACATACTCAATCCCACCTCTTCAATTACACAACTGCCAACTCCGCAACCTCAATCGTCCGAAGGTTCCGATTGCGATAGTCAATCTCCTCCTGCAATTGACATGTCTGTATTAGCGTCAGGTTCCGAACTAGTTCCATCCACTAAAATCACTGCTCTACTTAATGATCTCGATGAGGTCGCAAAGACAGAACCTGATTCTAAGATTGTGATATTCTCACAATGGTTGGGGATGTTGGACATTGTCGAAGAAGCTCTGACCGAATACGAGATTTGTCGGGTATGTATAAAGTAGTGGAACACCGCGTATAAAAAACAAGTCTCACATTTCTTTGTCTTTTTCTAGTATGACGGTACAATGAACGTTTTAGAAAGACAAAAAGTAATAAAAAAATTTGATAATGATCCATCGGTTAAAATTCTCCTAATCTCTCTTAAATGCGGTAACGTATATTTTCCCTCTTTTTTATATTAAGCTATAAGTCAATTGTTTTTATGGCTAGACATAGCATTAACGTTTCTGTCTGGTTATGTTTATTAGGTGGACTTGGATTGAATTTAACTGCTGCTAATAGAGTAAGTGTTAGGATAGAGCAAGTTTATAATTGTGTTGGATCGACGCTGATGTTAAATTTTCCGTATTTCGTAGGTATATTTGTTAGATTGCTGGTGGAACCCGGCCGTTGAGGGTGAGTATCGAATACACCTTGTAACACGCTTGTTTTGGCTCAAGCTCACGATGTATTTTTTCATTATAGAACAAGCAATAGATAGAGTGCATCGCATTGGGCAAACAAAGAATGTCACAATAAAGACATTTACAGTAAGCAACACTGTTGAAGATAGAATACTTGTGCTCCAACAACGGAAGGTAACATAAATTCTCTTGACCTTCATGAGCGTATCATCAATACTATGTATACTAATTACTGATCAAAATTGTAGCGAGAAATGGCAAGTAACGCATTGAGCGGAGTGACAGTGAATGACACTGTTCGACTCACGACGCAAGACCTCGCCTTCCTTTTCAATGTAAACAATGAATATCATCCAGTATAGAGAATGTTTTATAATATAATTTGATAGATATCATTAAGAGAAGGGATTTGTACAATACATTATGGGTAGTGTATATAAAGTCCTTATAAATATTTGCTAGCTTTAATCAACAAGACTAATAAATTCATGGCATCAGAATATATGCTTGCACGCAAACAGGTGGCACGAATGATTTATTTTTAATATCCAATAATCTCTCCAGTGGAAGAGAAGAGCTCATCTTGAGCCGTTAAGTTTGTCTAGTTACAACAGCAGATTAACGTTCTGATAATATAACTCAGACAGTAATACAAGTATCATGCTGCATAAATGACTGTCAACCAGAAGGGGAAAAGCACTTTTGAGACGTAATAATTCATAAGTGCGATAATCACATATTTTGACACCTAAACTGGATATCACTATACGTAGGGAAACGCGACAAGTCGGACACGACGGACTTGGGCATGGCTGTCCGGTCCAACTTGCCAAGACTTTCCCTTTGTACTACAATTCTCATTGAAGGATTACTTGTTCTGTCGTTGTGTCATGATGATTTTCATGCAAACGCTTCAGGATAGTCGAGAAAAATCCTCATCGTTCAATTCTTGCAGGCAAGAAAGATTCCAGCCTTTTTTACATTTTATAATAGCAGATTCAATTCATCTTTACCAGATCGGCGGATGTGCGAGTTAACTAAAGATATTCTGGTAAGTCTAAAGATGTTGCCAGGTAAAATGCGGTTGGGTTAATTTGATTGGTCATTGCGTGATACAAGGTAAACAAAGTGAAAATCATTGTTGCGATGCCATTGTTTTCATAATCATGTCCAGATCTAATATTGTAGATGTCAAGCATGTTGTAAAGGACAGTTAATATAACGTCAAGTTTACACGTGCTCATTTTGCTCTTCCCTTTGAAGCTCTTCACACTTGTTCAATAGGTACGCGCAATAAGTGCAGGTTAGCTGAACGTACGGAAGTAAAAAACGAGACGGGCAAGAGCAACATGAATGAAAAAAGTTCTTACTTCAACGTTAGGCACTTGAATGTGCGTGGAAATGGTAATAGTGACGTCAATGAAGGTAATTCACAGGTCATTTAATATACTATTACTGTTACAAAAGAAGCAAGCTTTGATTATTGATAACTAATGACAATCTGCCACTTTCAATTAGCCATGACAAGTTCATTACCGTCTCCGTCATTTGCAACAATCCAACGTCGAGAATTTACTGTGTCCGCAGTTTATACAGACACGCAAACCGGCTTTGGTCAACCCAAAAAGCTGGCCCTGCCTTCCTACGCTATAATCCTGATTATCGCTGGTGGTTCCGTATTCATCCTCGCAGCCATAACTACGATAGTATGTTTGGTTCGAAAAAAATCAACCAAAAAACTGGCACAGAGAAACTCCGTTGGCTCTGGTATATACGCGTTTCTCCCCCAAAATGGTAACTTACGGAATAAGGACGAGGAAGGGATCGGATTTCGGTACGAGCCAAGTCGGCTATTGCCCACCGTTGATGAAGATGACAAGTATCCGGAACAACCGACTCATCCAATGAGTTCTGTTGATCAAAATCGCTTCGGCAGCGGGCATCCCAGACCCGTTGTCAAAATTCCTCCGAATTATACACCGGACATTCAGATTGCCCGTCATGATGGAACTGTCTCTACGTCTCCGCGGCCTAATCAGATAGGCTCAAGTTTACCTCAAGCAAGCGGAAGACAGAACGTAAGTTTCAAGAATGATGCAGATCGAAGGAATAAAACTAGGATAAACACGGGTATTCCGCCACTAGATACTAACGTTGGGAAGCAGGACGGAAACTATGGAGGCAACCAAGGGTCACGATACAGCACTGCTATACGCAATCAGGCATATCGTGGGCACCATTATTCGCCCCCTAACCCCATTATACCTAAACCACGTCGATCTTCACTTGCGCAATCATCACCAGTGTCGCCAGTATCACCAGTGTCACCATTATCGACAACATCACAAATGCCGTTAATCCAAGAACGTGAATCATACGCGCCTCCACAGAATCGCCAATCGCGTCTGCAGCGCTCACGCGGAACTTCACGTTATAACCGCGGACGGTATGGGAGTGCGGTTCAATCACCTGTTTCTTCTTCTTCCGGACAGGCAGCAACGCAAAGGTATAGAACAGATGATTATGATTGGAAGAATTATCACAAACGTGGCAATACGAATGCAACTGGGAGAGCAAGTGGGGATGAAGCTACGCATGTAACTACATACACAGCGACGGATGCTATTGGTATGCGTGAGCCGACATCATTTGGTGATCGTAAAGATGAGAATGAAAACGACTATCTAACTGTTGCAAGTCCTATATTGGACAATAAGTCGACAGGATATCTGTCTGATGAAATGGGTCATAGTGAGGTCGAAACTATGAGATAGCAGATAGGACAAGGGTGTATGTGTGTGCGTTACATATATATATATATATATATTTCATGTATGTACGTTGTGTATCATACAGTATTTTTAATATGAAATCTTCATGCGTCAATTGTGCGACTTGTACCATAAATAAAATCCTTATAGTTTACTGTTAATAGCATTGTTGTTATAATAGAGCTGTGAATTTTATCCACTTTAATAACCGAAAACAGAATTTTACTGTGAATTTGTCACATCTTCTAAAAAGACGCATCAAAGACGCAGATGAAACCTAATTTGTCATGTGGGGCAGACTGCAACAAAACCAGACAAAGTGAACATTTTATTATGTGACATAAATGAGAAGCTGATTATTATGTGGCTCATAACTTACAGACTTGTTAATTTTAATGCTCACTTTATCATACCAGAATGTGATAAATATAAACCATAATGTGATTAATATATGATTACCTCTATATATAAAAATATTAATATGAAACTAATTTACATCAAATCCACTATGGAACCAAAGAATTACAGCACTATTAGAAGCATTTTAAAGATAAAGAAAGCTCAAGGAGAAAAAATTGCTCCGTATATTTTTAAAATGAATGACACCAAAACTCTTGAGGAATATTTAGATCAAGAAAAAATCACTTATGAAATTTATCAAGAGGAAAGGAAAATCATAACTAATAAACGAGCATTAACACCCACACATGATGAACCAAGAAAGAAACGAAAATTTGAAGAGACTTAAAGAAGGTAAGTTGAACAACAACAATTGATTGAAAAGACAAATAATTGCTACTATCTCTTCTTTTTTACCCTTTTTAATAGTACATAAACAAGACCTAGACCACATAACACTAACACTGTAAGTCCAGATCACAGTAAAATAGACTTAGCATCAATTCATTTATTGT